TGTAAATGGTAATATAGGATATCAATTACCTTATCCTTGAATATAGACAGTATTTCATCTTCCATCATGTAAAGTATGGTTCCCAAACCTATGATATATAATTAAGTTGTGGGGTTGCTTAGTCTAGAAATGTGCTACAATTTTCTTGGAATAGTTTTATACCCTTTTTGTAGACCACTTTGTAGGAGTTTATCAATAGAATAGTGACTCTCAGTAGGTGAAATGAGAGTGATATTTGTCCCCTGGGAGATATTTGATGATGTCTGGATATATTTTGGTTCATCCGTTTGTCACTGATGAGGGAAAGATGTGTTATCTAGTAAGTGAAGGTTGGAGATGCTCCTTACTATCCTGAGCCCATGACAAAATTGTCCAGTTTGAAATGCCAAACATCCTGAGGCTGAGACCCCTGATGTAGAGGGCTGGACTTTAAGGATGACTCTTCATGTAGCAAGAGCTCTCTGAGCTGCCCCATTTTCATCTGGTTTCTCAAAATCTTAACCCTGGCAATGAAAAAGAGATAAGCCCGTGTTCTCAACCTCAGAGCTGAACAGCACAGTGGTTTTTCCTTACTCTGTCATGCTTCTGTCATGCTTCCCATGAACTCAGTCTTTTCCTGGTGGTCATATCAGCGTCTTATGTAGCTAGGAGATTTCTGGAAAAAATTCATCTCAAAACATGTTCCTGAAAAATGGCAAATATGTGCAGAATGAGGAAGGAGACTCCTGCTGGCAATATGTTGAAAAAGGCAGTGGTGGCTTGTTGTGTCTGTGAATTATACATAATCCACACAGAGTAACAGCTTTCCAAACCCTTTGCACCTCCACGCCAACTCCTCCGGGTCTTTCCTGAGCTAAAGCTTGCATTCTAGGCTAAAGTTAATTAGTATGATTTTGTGGAGGGAGGGCAAAAAGAAAGAGATTAACACAAATCCCTTTTTAACTCAACACAATTAACATGGGTGTAGGGAAGCGAATTTAGTACCCCGTCTTCCTGCCTGTAGGACAAATTCCCTCTGTCGTCATGTATTAATATAATCTCCAGACCCAGAGCTTTTCACTCATTTGGTTCTGTGATTTCATGGTTTTACACCATTATACTAAGTGACCTTTCTTTGAGAAGTATTTTAGAGGGATAGAATAAAAAAACGCTACCATTTTGAGGTAATGTTTAATCTGGTCTCCATGCCCATTCCACTACAGAATATGCATGTCTTTAAGAGTATTAATGAGACATTTCAAGCTTGATTCAATGAAACTTTGCTGTCTCATGTGGACTACAGATTCCTAGAGAGTCTCTCATCTGTCTTTCCTCTCTTGCTTCCACTTCACTTTGGCCCTATGTGCACTGTATATTTGATCCATTCATTTGGAGACTTCCTTTGAAGCCTTTCTCAGATATCCTTAGGGTACCTCTTGGCTCCTAGGAGCTTATTTTTGCCCCTTAAGAGGCCTCTCAAGCACTCAGGTGCTGCACGGACTTTCTTTTTGCTTTGGAAACTAGGGTGGTTTTTATCTACAAGATTGTTCTCCCACTTGAGACTGTCTGCCCTGCAGCAAACAGATGTTTACATCAAGATCTCCCCTCTAGATGAATAAAATCCTCCCAGAGGCTAATGCAGGCTGGGAACGTTTCTTTGTGCACCTATGAAGCATAACGGAGCCCTAAGCAGCCACCTTTGATATATATTTTGTGTTTGGGAAAGAAAAAAATAATCAAAACTTTTTTTTTCTTTTCTTCTGTTAAACTGTTTCTTGCAGATGAGAATTTTTGTTGACAAAGGCTTGATTCAAGCGAGCTTTGCCCTCTTGATTAAACAAGAGTTTAGTTTGAGATTGTTTGTATTTTACACTTCAGTTTTGTTTTCTGTACTGTCTTTTGGGCATGATCCTTCATCAGCAGCGTCTGGTGACTGCTTTTTAACTCTCCAGCATGTTTGGTTTGCTGAGAGTACCAATTTTCATCTAATCGTCAAATAATTTGTTCAAAGAGTCAAACTTCAAGAGATGGAAGCTTAAGTCTCTGAGCATGTTAAAAATGAAACGAGTGTACTTATTTTGGGGGGACATTAATTTTGCTTCTGTACCTTGGATTCACACCTTTCATAAGATCTAAGATCAATACAAGTGATGGTAGCAATATTTGTCATAATTACCTGATACATTAATACCTTTCAATACCAAATATTAGCTTTGACTGGGAGATCACTAAACCATATAATGATTTTGAACAAGGAGTAATAGCTTGACTTTTGAGGATCAGTGAAACTAATAGCAAACTTTAGAGACGATGACATACCCTTCAGATACAAATTTAAACTTGGAATGTAAAGAAATGTTTCTTGCGTCCTATTTAGTGGCAGTTGATAAGTTGGTTTCTATATCCGTAAATACTAATTTAATTTAGGTCAATTGGAAGACACAGTGACTGGTGGTGTGATTTTAACCATTTTGTTTCCAAGTAGACTGCAGCCCAGTATTTCAGATTTCCTGTATTAGGAAAGGATAAGCTGAGAAATGCTATATACAGTAAGATAAAATTTTCTTCTCTAGAGAGAAGCATTTATACTTAAGTCTCAAAGAGCAATGAGGGCAGATTCTTTCCCCTCTATTTTTGTTAACTCTTTGCAAAATCCAGACCATACTATTGATTACAAATTATTCATTGTTGAAGGCAGTGCTCTATATTCAATAAATTAAGATTTAATTCCTGAATCCAACAAAATAATTGACCTCAAAAGGAAGATAAATGAATAGGTTGTCCTGAGCTCATGATTAAAATCCACTTTCCAGTCTCATTATATTAGTATTTTTCAATTCAGTGATTTTTCTACTCTTTTCTAGTTTCTTTCACAATCTTTACCATATTTTATCCTAGTCCATAGCAGTGAAGCTTAGCTATTTTCACCCTTGATTTCAAGACTGAAAGGTTTTCCAGTGATATTTTTGTACGTTGGTGTTAATATTAACAACATGGTATAGTTTCTCTTTTGAGAGAAACTAGATGACTGGTGTTTCTGAAAAACTTTTGAGATAATACTCATGTCATAAAATCATAATAATACCAACATGTAGCGCAACGTATAAAACATATAAGCATATTTTTGACTATTGATCCTTTGAAAGCTTCAGCTATGATTTTCCTTACTGAATCCTTTAAAAATAGAGAATTTGAGTATACTCAATCTGATTTTATATCTGGGCCAATTTAAAATAACTATTTGCTTCCTTGAACAAAATCATACGGGACATAAAAGTTACAACTTTTAAATTATCCCTCAGTTTGTGTTGCTACTGTAGCAACAGAATTTCTATGCTTAAGAAAAAATACATTATTTCACCCTCTCATGGAGAGAGGGTAAGCATGTGACTAGAATGCTTTGGTGTTGGGATTTATTTGAAAACAAGTATAAAACATCAGCATGATTGTAGATACCAGTTAATTATCAGTGCAGTTGTGTAAGGCTATATGACTTAGATTTGAAGTAGCTAAATTGAGTGCTTCTCCAGGCATCTTCTGATAAAGTGAAGTGAGATGTTGCTCCCATGGAAACTATGGAGGTTTATAAGGTTTCTTCTCTCTGTCTCAGGGTAAAATATTCCCTAGGACTCTTAAAAAAAATACAGAAGAGATGTAGAAACAGAGATGGAGGGAGGGAGGGAGCAGGAGAGAGAGACAGAGCGAATGACTCCTACTGGGAGTGTCAAGGATGGGTATGTCCTTGCATTGGCTGAGAAGGGACACAGCTTTGGGGAATAAAAGGAAACTTGGAGAAGAGAAGTCAAGTCTCAGTGGTTGGGAATTTGACAAAGTCAGAGCATTATCTTTCTTTAGCCTTTCCCCACCCCCAATTACATTCTCCAAGTGAAACATAACTTGAATTTGCTCTGCTTGAGCTCCCTTGCACAAGTGGACGGGTGTCCTGCTCACGTGAATGAGCTCTTGAGGGAAACAGATAGGAGGCCATGAGACCAGTGAGACCCAGAGACCTTATTCTCTGTCTTAGTTTGTGCATTCTGTTAAGGATTTCCAGTGACCATCATGTGCAGCTGCTGGATAGAAGAGCTCGCCTCTTGGTTTATTAACCAGAAAGTTCAATTGCCTATGTTTTAGTCAAGTTCAATAAAGTGCCAGTTTATATTTATAATGACAACGTGAGGCACTTCACAACTTCTGCACTCATTATGATAGCCTAAATTAGATTCATTATAACTTTGGTATTAAGTGAATTTAATTGTATTATAAGTCACCAAATACTAATAATTGATTGCTATATATAGCAACTACAAAGTGTCCAAAACATTAATTTGTATATCCCATTTATGAACTTCTCCAAATAAAATCATTTTAATTAAATTTAGCATTAGAACAGATTTGTACATAGAGTAGAACAAATGTTTTTATCAGCATGTAGTTGCTATTATGTTCAGAATATTTTGTAACACGGTTTGAGTTACTGTGAAACCATAGGCTTTTCTAAAATTTAACAATAAGGGAAAAGAGGCGAATGTCCTTGGAGAAGTATTAAATGTTAAAGATAAATGCAATTGGACTATCAATTAAAATATTGTTATATTTGTTTTATTGAATCTTGTATCACAGGATCCGTTTTTCTATAAAAGGCCCACTGCCAGCAGTCATCTTTTAAAAGATTTATTCTATTTATTTATGTTTACAAGAATTGGGGTGTAGGCCAGAGTTTAGGGGTATGATGAGACACATTCACCAGAGACAGGATGTGGAGCAAAACCGGCAGATGTACTGAAATATACTGCCGAGGGGAGCATCTGGGAGACAGGAGGGGTCTGCTGTGCCCTGTGGGTCACCTCCCTGGCTGGGGATCGAACCGGCCTGCGGTAGCTGCAGATAGCTTTATAGTGCTGAGACTTAACTCTCTGCATCACCAGGGAGGCCCACCAGCAGTCATCTTTAAGTTCAGCAGGTCCAGTGGACTTTCTAGATCTTATTAATTGAGCACTGTTTCCTGGTGCAATTTGCAGAATTCTTCCGAGAGCTCTTGGAGAACGCGGAAAAGTCACTCAACGACATGTTCGTGCGTACCTACGGGATGCTGTATATGCAGAATTCAGAAGTGTTCCAGGACCTCTTCACAGAGCTGAAAAGGTACTACACTGGGGGCAACGTGAACCTGGAGGAGATGCTCAATGACTTCTGGGCTCGGCTCCTCGAGCGAATGTTCCAGCTCATCAACCCGCAGTACCACTTCAGCGAGGACTACCTGGAGTGCGTGAGCAAGTACACCGACCAGCTGAAGCCCTTCGGAGACGTGCCCCGGAAACTGAAGATCCAGGTCACCCGCGCCTTCATCGCTGCCCGGACATTTGTCCAGGGGCTGACTGTGGGCAGAGAAGTTGCCAACCGGGTTTCCAAGGTAAGTGTCAACTCGTCGTCTTTCTATCTTAATGGATTCTTTAAAATTGCCAAGGTAGAAAAGCGCACATACTGTGGCCTTGGATAAATCATCGGTTCAAAGGCAAATTTAATATGGTTGTTTCCGCTCACATTGATTGGAGACAGGGTTTCAGGCCATCATGTCAGTATTTATTAGGAACTTTGCAGTGGTTAGTCAGGAATGGTGCGCACGGGTGCCTTATGACTTTGACCACTTGGCATTTCTGATCAGGGTTTAAGGTTGATAAATACGTGTGAAAGACTCCATGCATACGCTTTATTCCTGCAGGGAGTTGGAGGTGACAGTGTGCGTGGAGTGGATGAGTGTGGTTCCTCCGTCCTGGAGGAGATACACTGTCTGACGCCTGAAAGTGTGGAATAGGGAGTGCTCAGGGACACACAGCACAGAGAAGTCCTTTCGTTGGGCATTCTCTCGGTGACTCAATACCATGTACTCAGCGGGCCTTGGCAAAGGTAAATCACTCACACCTGGCGGGCCCTTTCCTCGAGGAAAGTGTAAATCACTACACCTTGAATGCAAGGGACTTTCCCTCTGCTCTATTCGTGTTGACTGTTTGCTGGGATGAGGAAAACTGCCTTTGTTTAAATTCTCCATTGACATTCATCTGCTCTTATAAAGTGAGCTTGTCTTGCATGTTTGTAGGTGAGCACAACAAATAAACCAAAGATGATTACTTTAAGAGGTAAACTGGAAAATATACTTATCAGGAATTTGGTATTGTGCTGTCCAACACGATCATATTTGTACAAAGATTATTACCAAACACTAATTTCCTATTGCAGGTCTGTGCCAACAAACCACATATTTTTATTCATAACTATTGTTATGAAAAATTAACTATTCTGCCATGTTTCTTTTTTCCCATTTTGATCACCTCAATATTTAGAACTTGCCCTAACGACTTCATTTATCCATATTTCTCTATGGCACTATTTGTAAAATTCACCGTTGTCTATTTTTTAAATTGTCTGTTTTGAATAGCATATTTGGCATGTGGAAAGATTGTTTGCAAGAAGGCTGTCAAGAGGGTCTTCAAGGTGCTTTAAGAAGAAAATACAACTCTGATTTTTGAAAAATCAGTGTTTGAAATAATGTTAGAAATCAACAGTGTTCTAGATGCCAAGAGAACTAGTGGACTCAGAAGGACATGGCCAGGTAGAATTTTGCAAGATTGTAAGATATAGACAAATATATAAAAAAGAATAATCTTGAGCAGATAGAAGTTTATGTAAAAACAAAGTTTAATCACAGCGTCAATCTAAAGCCTAGTTTTTGTAGAATAATGAAACTTTCAGATCTCTTTTGGAAAATATGTAGAAAGAAATTCAAAGCATGGAGTGATAATGTGCAACATCCCTTATTATATTGATTCTAACTGAGTGTGAATATTATTTAGATATATATTTTTGGTCTGGGGAGATTCCAGTGAAGTAACTGAATATTTTCCAGCAAAATGTCTAACATGCCACAGGGGAGGTTCATGCTGACTGTCTGTAGGTTCTCAGAGGATGGAATTAACAACAGCCCCCAAAAGGCACTTCTCCTTCCTCATTCCTTGACTGTTTCAGTTTGAGTCTTTTGGCTTTCAAAATAAAACATACTGTTCTTCACAGAGATGTTTGATGTGGAACAGCCACCAGTGGTGTACTGGTGGGTACTGTTCTCCCCATTCCTTCATCACCAACATTATTTACAGACAAGCTCCTGTGGATTTGCTGTATAGTTTGTGGTCATGTAACCAAGGAATGTTAACTGTTCTACGTAGTCATTGGCTTGACTGAGCTGGGGTCGATTAGCCCTGATCTACCCTAATCATCAGTCCCTTTCTGATATCTGAGGGTCACATTGAGATGAATGAGTGGGTGGGTGGGTGGATGGATGGATGGATAGATGGATGGGTGTTTGGATGGATGGATGGATGGATGGATGGATGGATGGATGTGAGGATGTGAGGGTGGGCGTGTGGGTGGATCAATCTATTAAGTGATAATTAGATGGAAGGAAGGGAGGAAGGAAAGAAGGAAGGAAGGAAGAAAGGAAGGGAGGGAGGGAGGGAAGGAGGGAAGGGGAGGAAACAGTCTTAGTTTTAAAGTGAGAAAATTTTCTCAAGTAATTCATGACCTAGGGACTCATGTTTCTTACTAATGATATTTCTTGCCTAATGGTAACCAGATGATTTGTAGCAGACTAAACACCAGAAATAGATCTACTAAAACTATTTGGGTGCTGATAAATTCAGCACTCCCAATGATTTTTTTTGTAACAAAAATAACATATTACACAGACTAAGTATATTAAGAGAAGCAAAAATGGTATTTGAAGTTTAAGTTGTTTATAAATATGCACTCCTTGTGGTCTGCTAATTGATCATTTAGATTTGGTGCAGTGGCTGCAGAGAGTTAAGGAAAGCAAGACAAAATTCTCAAGTGAGATCAGTAAACTAGCTCCTGTCCTGCAAGCTGACTTGGGGGATATATTTTTTTTTTTTTACTTTAGCTTTTCGTACAGTGGCTTCTTAAATCTGGAAGGCATCATTAATAGCTTCTAATTAATTGTTTTGACTGGCAAGCCTATCTCTTTGGCAAAACACAGGCGTTTGATACAAATGTTTTGACACAATATCTTAGGGAATTTCCTTAACAGAAATGGAGGATTAAACTGTAGGCAGCTACATAATTATTTTAAAACTTGTTTGGATCTATAACACTGTCTATTTCTAGTCTTTGGATAGACCAAGTTAATTTTAAATAACTGTAGCTGAGATCTGACTTAGACATGAGCCTCTGTGCTCAAGTAGCCAGGCTATTACCCCAGTGTGAGTTTCCAACACACAGAGGAAACTGTGTATTGGAAAGGTCCAGAGAGTCAGGGACCTTCATACTTTGCCAGTAGAAGAGTAAATAGTGTGATCACTTCTCATGGTGATTTGAAAGTTTTACTTGTGTCATTAAGAATGAGTTTCTGGCCCTCCCTGGTGGCGCAGCGGGTTAAAGCACAGCACTGAGAATCTAAAGCTGCTCCGCATGAGTTCGATTCCCGCCTGCCCCGGAGGTGACCACATGGTGTGGCAGACCTCTCCTGACCCGCCCGCTGTTCCCCTCAGCAGTGTACTTCGTCGATCTGCCTGTTCTGTTCCCCACTCTGTCTCTGGTGAAACCTCTCACCATCTCTGAGCCTCTGGCCTGTACCCCAGTTCTGTATGCACAAATAAATAAATCTTAAAAAAAAAAAAAAAAAGAATGAGTTTCTGGTACAATTACAATTCCACCACTGGAGAAATTGTCTCCCACGTGTCCTAGTAGAGATATAGAAGGATGTTCATAGTGGCATTCTTTACAATATCGTACAAGCAAAGGTAGCACCAGAGTTTCATCTGCATGTGTGGTGATCTCTTCACACAAGGAAAGCAAATCAAGCCTCCAAAAGAGGTGGACTATAGACACACATGGGTGCATCACAAAAACCTCATTTTGAGAGAAAAAGTTAAAATCAAAGAATGCTTGTCATGTATCTAAAGTTCCCAAACACGCATTGTTAAACAGTGAATTATTTAGGAATAAAATAAATGTGTGATCAAACTCTGGGGAAAAACAATTTTAAGTTAAATACACAAATAGAGGCCCTCCCTGGTGGTGCAGCGGATTAAAGCACTGCACTAAGCTAAAGCCACTTCAGCACGAATTTGATCCCTGCCCCGGAGGTGACCCACATGGTGCAGCAGACCTCTCCTGGCCCACCCACTGCTCCCCTCAGCAGTGTACTTCGATGATCTGCCTGTTCTGCTCCCCACTCTGTCTCTGGTGAAGCCTCTCATTGCCCCTGCACCTCTGGCCTGTACCCCACTTCTGTATGCATAAATAACTAAATCTTAAAAACAAAATAAGTTTAAAAAAAAACACAAACAGATGGTGGTGACCTTGGGGAATAAGGCCATAGATGTTATCAGAGGGGAACATACTAAAATTCCTAAAGTTCTTATAGCACATATTTTTTTTAATTGAGGTGATATTAGTTTACAAAATTGTTTACTTTTTAGAGTTTTCTCCCTTTGAGAGCTGTTACCACAGCTCACCCATCACCGAAGCACCCACAATCCTCCATCATTGCCCATGGCCGTCCCTACTCTTTTCTTAAGCTTTGTGCCAAAAGAGTGTTTGTGCCAGTGTGCTTAAGATTTTTTTTTTTTTATAATCAACTATTGAATGGGGTCAGACTTTCCCATCATTCATCTGTGAACCTTTTCTTCTGTTGGAGATGATTGAGTACCTGAGCTGCTCTCAGTTGTTAATCAGACTCACAACTATCCCTGGGTTTGTTAGCCAATCGCTTTCCATGTTCCACATTGTGGGAATGATGTTGGGTAGGCATGGGAGGCAAAGTTCTCAAATGGACACAGAGAGAAATGTTGATAATACGGTCGCTTTGAAAGAGAGAATACAGGGTGTTTTGTTAGCATCACCCCTCTGGTAAAATACCACCCTCAGTCCTTCTTGACACCCAGCGGTGAGATTAGGTGTGAGGGCCAACCGTTCCTCTGAGGGTTCATCAAACATGTGAAGAAAGTAGAGAACTCAACAGCTTGAAGACACTCACTGGTTGTTTTCTCACCTGGGCTTCAGTTAGGTATCATCAGGCGGAAGTGGAAATGACACCGTTGTTGTCACTAGTCCACAGTGATGCCATTTGAGCAAACAAGCTGTAACGTCATAGCATCTTGCATTGAAAAAATTGACTACTATGACTCAAAGCTGTAAACTGTGTCAAAAATAATCAGTGTCACTTTGCAAGTCTTCTCATTGTTTTTATCCAGGCAAATTAGGTGGGTAAGAGAGCTCTGAGCCATAGAACTTGAACTTGGCTGGACATTGTCTTATCTGTCTGTCTGAAATCTTTATTGTTTGTGGGATATTACTTGAAAAGACAGTCTGCCTTTGATTTACTCTTTACTAACACTAAAA